CTGTTGTAAGATCCACGAAAAATACATGTTAGAGGGTAAGCTAAACCTACGGAACAATTTTTGAGAATTTTACCGTGTATGCCATCTGGTCCCTGGGCTTTATTTGAATTAATATTTGAAAGAAGCTTACGAACATCCCGATGATCGAAGTCAATATCAAAATCAACATCATTGACATAGGATATGTCAGTGTCATAAAGTGAAGGATCCGAAAACTGGTTATAAAAGAAAGAATTGAAAAGTTCAGCTTGAGCTTTGGGTTTGAACCGAAGCTGTCCAGAATAACTAACACAATTAGGAATACGGCAAGAGTTAGATTTATACTTAACATGTGACCAAAACTTCTTAGTTATAAGCGCTGGATCATCACTATTGAAAAGATTGTCTCTTATTTTGGCTGATGAAAGCCTCTTAAAATCTTTACGGCTAGTAACAAACTTTAACTCATCAGAAATAGAACCAGAAATTTTAAATTTAGCTCTGAGTCTATCTTTTTTACGGCATGAAGAAAAAAGTTCACTATCGAACCACGGGGGTTGAAACTCTGATTTAATAGTTACTTTAGGAATATGTATATCAACTAAATCCATAATGCAGTCTTTAACTAACTTCCAAGACGAATCAGGATCTAGGCATTCTAGGACTTGCCAATTAATCGAGCATAATTCACGATTAATCATGTCCCAGTTTGCTTTCTTATAATTATAGATTTTACGTTTAGGAGTTTTCTTGCGGGAAAAGGAGCTTTTAATTGAAAAAGTGACAGGAAAATGATCAGATTTGCACACGGAATGAGGATCACAGACATTCAAGTTATCGATTGTGTTATCATAATTACTGAGAAGAATGTCTAATGTATTACCACTTTTATGGGTGGGTGATGTGATCAACTGGGAGAGAGAAAGATCACTGAAAGAATCTATGAAGGATTGCTCAATAGGTACGGTACTGGATGAAGATAGTCAGTCTGTATGGGGGAGATTAAAATCACCAATAACATAGATTTTAGGGGGATTCTTTTTGGAAACTAGCTTGCGAATATAACTAACTATGACATCATGATTAGGTAACCCAAGAGTTCCTACTCTATAACAAGTACAGATTACAATACTCTCTTTGTTAGGAAAAGCAATTTTAACGGCAAGCATTTCTGCACCTAGGCTAACTGGTAGTCGGGTTGTAGTGGCATCGAGATCAGACCGAACAGCCAAAAGAACACCACCTCCATTTTCCCTAAACTTTTTAGGGTTATTAGGATCTTGAGGATGAGTCTTTCTCGTGCGGTCATTGCGGAAGATTTCATATTGAGAAGAAGGAAAGATTTCGTTGCTAGAAATAGATTTTTTGAGCCAAGTCTCATTTAGGGCAATTATGTCAGGCTGCTCTATGTTAGCAAAGGATTGAAGTTCGGAAATCTTATTACCATCAAGAAGGGGATGGGAGGAGCTTAGGTTACTGAAAGGAATAAGACCTTGGACATTTTGGTAGAGTACAGATAGGGAGTTGGGACCTGGATTAAGCATAGAAGGATTAACAAGAGTTATCAAAAGAAAGTTAAGAGAGAAAACCCAAAGAATGAATAAAGATACTAGACGCCTGAGGCGGCTGGAATACTTGACTCTATTCATCTTACCAGGGAGAAGAACATTTCTTATAAACCATGAGGAGATAATTACAAAGAAAAGTTTGATGTGGGAGCAAGCAAGAAATGGTATAAGATAACGTGGGCTGTCAAGGAGTAGAGAGGAATGAATATTAGAATCTAGGGGGAATACGGTGTTCATGGACCTAGTCGTGGAGAGAAGAATTGGGAGAAGGTAAGTCATGATGAGAGAATAGAAGAGAAACATATGATTATGATAATTGTAGTTGATGTGTGGGGTGCATGGAGAATTAAATGTGTAAATTTTGTTAGGTATGAACGTGTTGATATGTATATGTGCATTTCTTGACTGTGTACGAGGCCTTTTGCATGCAAAAAGACCTATTCTAAGTCTAAACGATTCATTGTCTAACATATGGGAAAATGGGCAGTGACCGAATGTACCTGAAATAGGAGGCATAAAATTGAGAAAAAGATTAAATCAGAGATTTGTTTGAGTTTTAATAGCCATGTGTATACGCATGCTGCAATCGCGCGCTACTGCAAGCGTGAAGCGAGAGGGCTCTGGTTAGAGCAATAAAGTGATTAATCATCATCCCTCCTCCTGTGTCCTATAATCAAACAAAAAGTTAATAATAATAAACTCAAATTTCACTGTTTGAATTTTTTATACAATCATCTTACAATAAAGTATATGTTCCAACTTTCAAATATTAGACCGTCGACGAGTCCAACTTGAAACTTATATTTTTGGGTTTTAATAAGTTATAAACCCATAACAAACGAATGTTTGTGTAATTATCCGCATGTATGTTCACCTAACCTTGATTGACGGTGTCAATCCATCGAAATCGTTGATACATGTTTCGTATCCCAATATCAGAGATAATATATATTTTTTCCGCCTTCGGCGGCGCGCGCTTCGCGCGCGAAAAGTGGCATGCAACGTATGTCAACGAAATCGTTGCTCTGCGAAGCAGAGCAACGATCGACGATTCGATGCGAAGCAAGAATGCTAGTTTGCGCGGCGCGTCGAAGCGGCAAAGTCCTCCAAACCTGACCATGTTTACAAACATAGCCTGGCGTAATTGAATCCTCAAAAACGCGCAAGTAAGCGCGTTTATGCGATTTTACAATTTCAAATAATCAGATTTTACAATCAAACTCAGCGCGCGGCTCTTGTGGCGTATACGTCACTTTTTTCCAATTGGTAGTTGCAGTGCACGTAAATAATTGCGCGGCTGTGAGTGGTTCTAAACGTGAATGCTGGTCACGTGCGCTCTAACATCCAATGAGCATCCGCACTTTTTTCAAAGCGATGGAGCACGTAATTCACCCAGCCCGATTAATTGGTCAATGTTAATAAAAATGAAATCTTTGTTAAATTGCATGCTAAATACCTTAAAATTTAAATTGTTGTTGTCAAACATGTCAATCTTACAAATGTCAACAATCCTAAAATAATTTAAAACCGAAACGTGATCCTTTGTAAAATTATATGTCCCAATAATCAAATTGACTTGTACTCAAGTATAAAGTTAAACAATTTACTTCAATAACCACGGTCACTAGCAAGTTCTCTCAAATGGAGAATATCATCATACGACTCCAGCAAGATGAAACGCTTCCAGAGGTCAACCTTCAGGTGCTGTAGGAGGTTACGTCTGTGAGCCCGAGTCTACCAACTTCACTAGACTACACATCTCGACACTAAAACACAGCGCAGCTTGAGCTGGTGATCTTTCATCGCTCCTCAGTATTTGTCCTAGCATCTTCCACCTAGATAACTCAGCACGCTCAGACATAGGGGTAGAGTTACTCTGTTTGTAGAGGGTATCTTTGGACATCATACTGCGTGGCCAGCTGACATTCATGATCTTTCTGAGGTGGTTACGGTGACATGCATCTAGTTTGTCCCAGTACGATTTAGGCATTCCCCAGCAACTAGAGTTATACATGAGGATAGATACTACTTGGGCCTCAAAGACCTTCAGCTTCTTCTGTAGGGGGATCTTACTCTGGCACCAGACCTTCTTGAAGTTCTGGAATGCTACATTAGCTAACATGATTCTTCTGGTGACATCTTTCCTACTTTCTAGCAGAGAACCCAACAACTTGCTACTGCACCATTCTTCATTCATTCTAAGGGGTTTACCATCATCCATGACCTCATCTTTAAAATTTAAAAGCAATAATAAACAACAAAAAATGTCTGTTATCGATGAACTGACTTGGCGCTCGCTACTTCTATCAAGCTATTTTCCACGGCGCGCGCTTCTCCGGGAAAATTTAGAATAGTTGGTAGTATCATCCGTCAAACAAAAAGTCAAAAATAATGGAATGTCTTAAAATTGAACACTTGCACTTTTTGGCATAATTTTTCAACCATGTTGTTTTAAAACTCCTGTCCAATTTATCAGCATGATTACTAAGTTAAATAAAAATTTCAGTCAAATAAAAACAATTTTATGCCACTAGACTTATTGCAGAGAAAATTATATTAAAAACACATAAGTTTTATATTTAAAAGAAGCCTAATGTATCGCTCAGTATTGTTACATAATATTGGCCTGGAATCATTAACATTGCACATGTTAAGTAGGACATATTTTACATATTTATTACATATTACTGTTCTCCATTAAGGGGCCGTAATTGTTCCAATTGTGTAACTGTAGATTTATCATTATTATTATTATTCCCACGTGATATACAATATAATAGAAACGATCCTATACAGGTTTTCGGTTGACTGTTAGGTTCATCTGGTCACCAGTTTTGCATTCATATTAATGGGGAGGGTTACATTAGAAAGTCATCCTTTTAGCACCTTATTGGTTGATGGTTCTGGCATATGGTCAACTCTCCCTCTCATTTTGAAATGACACCAATGTCTGATATAAATACCGTGAAGTTTATATATAAAACATTTAAATATCTCGCTGTATCAAACTGTTTGTTCAAGGAAAGGCCCAAGTACTGTGATGTGGTGTCCTTTGTCAGACACAGACTACGATTCGCTCTGCTCCGAACTTGTATTGTATTATTTCACAGAGGTTCCAAAAATTGGACACCCACGGCACTAAATAAATTAATTATTTTGTATCTTTGTATCCTGTATCCTTCATCTTTGTATCCTTGAAAGATGTTGCCTGGGCCCACACCTTGCACGTTCGCTTTTTCAGGGGGGGGGGGGGGGGGGAGGGGGTGTGTACGCCTCTGCCCCCCCCTGACTACGCCCTTGATCACAGAACATTCTGTTGCTCAAGCTTATTTCTAGTGAGACAAATCGTGGTTTATGCTCTGATTCATCAAAGGAATGTAGCATAAAACTTACTATTTCGATGACAATTTATTGTTTTGTGTGTAATAATTGTAGTCTACATAATATTTTATCTTTTAGCAGTGACTCAATGAAAATGTAGAATCTTTGGTGGATGTCCGTTACAAAATCTATCTACATCCTCTCATTACTTCTGGCAACTCCTTGTTTAAGGTATGTTCACATGAACGTACTGTATGCTTTTTGCTTGAATTTTAGGAGATGGAATTTGATTAAAGAATCTATGTAATTGGGTGACTTACTATTAAGTACATAGATTCATTCATTACATGATGTCTTTATTTAGGTGCTGTCTCTTAAGACCCTTCCATTAACCTTGTGTTCAGCAAAATGTTTTAATTACCAAGTTTTGCAATAAAAAACATACTTTAATCATGCCTGTTTTTAAGTTATTCATAGTGTACACATACCATTGACTTGATCAAATTCTTCAAAATGTGTTTACTTGCAGATTCTCTGTGAAAGAAGAACAACAAGGCGGGGCTTACGTTGGTCAGCTTACTAACCTTGACAAACAAGGAACTTACTGCTTCACATCTTCATGTGGCTGGTCTTCATTATTTGCTTTGGATAAACAGAATGGGATAGTGACCACAACAGCATCTATAGACAGGGAATCGTTATCATCTTCTGTAATTACATTGACTTTGTCGGGAACTGACAGTCAAGGTAGTAATGTCCTGGAGGTCATTGATGTGACAGTTGAAGATATAAATGACAATAGTCCCACATTTTCTGCCCCAGACTATACCTTGATTGTATCTGAAAATTTGGGTCCACAAGTGTTTGATCTGTTATCCTGGAGTGATGACGATGAAGGTGAAAATGGTAAACTGAAGAAAGCACAGATCTTGGATATATCAGATCAAAGCTGGCCCTTTATACCTGAGATTAAAACTAGTGGAACGTTTCAGCAAGTTGTGTTAAAGATAACCAAATCGCTCGATAGGGAAAAGGTTGATCATTACGAATTCACTGTAGAGATAGAAGATAATGGGTATCCTGCTCTAACTGGAACTTTAAACGTTATTATTGATGTTCAGGACATCAATGATAATGCACCATCCTTCGAGAAAGATAAATATCAATTTGATCTGGATGAAAATGTCTCAATTCCTTTTATGATTCATCAATTTATTGCAACTGATGAAGACTCTGGGGACAATGGTGATGTTAAATACTCATTATCGCACAATTACAATCAAGCTTATTTTAGTATTGATGAGCAATCTGGACAGCTCTCTTTGACATCAAAAATTGACTATGAAACCAGTCCAAGAATACGACAAGACGTCAAAGGCTTTACTCTGACTGTGACTGCTCAAGACATGGGTGTGTCTTCTAGACATGCTTCAACTTCAGTTGAGATTGTTGTTCGTGATGTCAATGACAACAGCCCAATAATAAAGTTTTACAGTCCTTTCATGACAAATTCTGGCAGTGATACCGTTGAAATTCGAGAGAATATTGCAGTTAATTCTTATACTGCAACAATTATTGTAAGTGACAAAGATAGTGGTGTCAACGGTGACTTTGATGTGGTTATAGATGGTGGCGGTTTTGGGAGCTTCAAACTTCAAACATCTCCTGGTTTGCTCATGCTTACAGCTGACCATTTAGACAGAGAAGAAAGACATACATATGAGGTTGTCATCAAAGCAACAGATAGAGGAACACCAAGTCTGCAAACTACGAAAAATCTGAATGTGAATATTTTGGATGAGAATGATAATAGTCCCAGTTTCACAAAGCCACTTTACACTAAAAGCATTGCAGAAGATGTTGTGATAGACACTGACATTCTCTCTGTGAAGGCGTTAGATCCGGACAATGGTGTCAATGGTTCGGTTTTATACAGGATTGAATCCCAGACAGGTGGTAACCTTTTCAAGATATCATCGAGTGGTAGCATCTCCAATTTGAAGAAGCTTGATGCCGAAATAAATAAGTTTCATGTATTAAACGTGTCAGCATCAGATGGAGGAAATCCATCGTTGATCAGTTTTACAGTTGTAAACATCACAGTCACGGATGTAAATGATAATACACCAGTTTTTGATAGTTCTCTGTATACATGTAATGTTCCAGAGACAAAAACAAAAGGCTTGGTAATCTGCTCTGTTTCAGCTAGTGATCTTGATGGTGGAGTTAATGGTGATATCGTATTTACCATTGTCCAGACTGATAGTCCAAACTTTTCTATCGATGGTTCAACGGGGGATATTACACTTATAACTGCCCTTGATTATGAACAAACAGAAGTGCATCAATTGACCGTCAAGGCATCCGATAAAGGTAGGCCGGCAAAATATACGACTTGTGAAGTGATCATCAATGTGCTAGATGTAAATGATGAGACTCCACAGTTTGATCCAGTTATTTATTCAGCCACAATCCCTGAAGGTGTTATGTTCTCGAGCATTCTGCAGCTCTATGCTCATGACAACGATAAAGACGATAGCATCAAATTCTCTCTCACTTCTGGTGATATAAGCTATTTTACAATTTCCCCCTCTGGTGTTATATCAAACACAGAAGTGCTGAAATATTCAGACTCAAGCAGTACATATAATTTCAAAGTTTCAGCTCACGATACTGCAGATAATGAAGCATCTCCTTCTGCTTCTATCAGTGTCAATGTTGTTGAAAAGTCTCCTGATTTACCTGTTTTTTCAAAAGGTGTGATCAAGACATCAGTTGCAGAGGATTCTCCAGTAGGACATTCTGTGACCACTATCAATGCTTCTACAGAATCAAGCTGCACTATTTCGTACAGCCTCGCTTCGCAATCTGATTATTTTTCTTTGGAATCTGCTACCGGCAAACTTATGATCAAGAAAGAGATTGACTATGAGATGATCAAGAGAATCAGCTTATCTGTGATTGCTACCTGCAGGTCAGTTGAAGGCCGTGCGACTATTGAAGTGGATATCTTAGATGTCAATGATAACTCACCTGTTTGCGATAGCATGGGCACGACTTTTGTCAAAGAAGACACTCAGGTTGGAACAGTGGTTTATACTAGTGTTTGCCGTGATATAGATTCTGATGTGAATGGGAAACTTTCATACAGCATAACATCACAGACTCCTCTCTTCTCGATATCTATAAACAAAGGAGAAGTGTCGGTTGCTAGTCCATTAGACAGGGAAACAGTAGACTCTGTAACATTAACTATCAAAGTTTGTGACAACGGGGTCACTTTGAAATTATGCAGTGACTTTAGTATAACAGTTCAAGTCACAGATGCGAATGATAATGCACCAGAATTTCTTGATCCCCTCACATTTTACGTGAAAGAAGATGTCAAAGTTAACCATGCCATTGGAAAATTGAAAGCACTTGATAGAGACGAGGGCAAGAACAAACAACTTACCTTTACTGTCCTTAACTCCGTTCAGCAGATCAAAGTCTTTAGCTCTGGTGAAATTGTTGTAAACCAGTATCTTGACTTTGAAACAGTTGACAGATTCTTCTTGAATGTGAGAGTCGAAGACCAAGGTGTACCTTCTCAGAGTTCTGAATCTATTGTAAAGATCATTGTTCAAGATGCCAATGACAATGCCCCAATATTTGAGCAACAAAGTTACAACTTCAACGTTCAGGAACATCAGTCAGTGCCATTCGTTCTAGGTGCTGTTGTGGCTACTGACAAAGACTCGGATGAAAATGGAAAAGTATTTTACTCACTTTTAGATGGTAACGATGTTTTCAGTATCAATTCCACGTCTGGTGAACTTACTTTGATTGGTACAGTCGACTATGAGAGTTCAGTCATTTCATATCAAATCAATGTAGAGGCTTCTGACTCCGGAGAAATCCCCCTAAAATCCAAGGTTCTTGTCGTTGTCAATGTGCTTGATATCAATGATAATGCACCAACGTTTACCCAAGATAGCTATTCAGTTTCTATTGCTGAGGATATTGCCATAAATTCTAAAATATTTGAAGTGACAGCATCCGATAGAGACGGTCCCAATAACAACCAGATCACATACTCATTTGAGCAAGTGCAAGACAAGTTTAGAATCGATTCTTCTAGTGGGAGCATTTTCACAACAAAACAGCTTGATTTTGAGCAGATTCAAAGTTACAATATTGTTGTGATGGCTGAAGATAATGGCTCCCCAGCGTTCTCCTCAAAAGCAAGTTTGGTGATTGTACTATCTGATGTCAATGATAATGATCCGAAATTTGAAACAGATCTCTTGGAAATAGGTGTAGTAGAATCAACTAGTCCTGGCACCATTATCAAAAGGATCCAGGCTACAGATATTGATTCAGGAAACAACGGTAAACTTACATACGCCATAGTTTCAGAATCAGATACAGGAATTTTCTCATTGGATAGTTCTTCTGGTGATTTGACACTGCTAGGGAAACTTACTTTTTCTGGGAATGTTTTCAAGCTAGAAGTAGAAGCTACAGATCACGGAAGTGTACAACGATCTTCATCACAAGACATTGAAATCACAGTGATAGATGTTAATGACAATGCACCAGTCTTCACTGATGGAATATCCTCTGCAAATATTGTTGAAAACTCGCCCAAGGGAACTTATGCTTTTCAAGTTTCAGCAAGAGACCAAGATTCTGGACCAGCTGGTATAGTCAATTTTAATATTTCATCCCAGTTTTTTAGCATCGAACGGATGACTGGAAAAGTTACTGTTATATCCAATATTGACAGAGAAAGTAACGAAACTCTGCTAGTAACTGTGTGTGCTACTGACCAAGCATCACCGGTATCTGAGCAACTATCAGTGTGTAAAGACATTGTTATCAGAGTTCTTGATGTCAACGACAATGCCCCTATCTTCAAAGATCATGAATCTAATATTTTTGTACACGAGAACACAAAGGTTGGTGGAAAGATAGCAACCATAAAAACATCAGATGCTGATTACGGATCTAATGCTACTGTCTCCTACTCGATTGTTAACGAAACCCCTCGAGGAATAGTTTCTATTGATGCAGATTCCGGGGAACTTGTCCTCTCTAAATCAGTAGACTACGAAGAAGATGAGAACGCTGGCTCATTCACCATAGAAATCAAAGATCTGGGCACTCCCTCTTTGAAAAGTTCCAAGCAATTTTTCCTCCTTGTGCTAGATGACAACGACAATGTACCTGTATTCACCAATCCTTCAGCTCAAAGATCTGTATACTTGTCATCTTTCGTGAAAGCAGGAAATGTCATCTACAAAGCCACAGCAACAGATGCAGATAGCGGGTTGAACGGTAAGATATATTACTCATTGCCCAACACTTTCAATGGAAAGTATAGCATCGACGAGAATACTGGAGACATAACATTGAATGTAAAAGTGGATAAATCATTCGAAAATACTCTACTGAAGGTGAAAGCTACTGATTCTGGCGTTCCTGAACTCGCCTCAATCATGGTTGTCAATGTGGAATACAAGGATAAGAATGTCAAACCAATTTGTCCTGGTAAGTCCTATGTAACAGTTCCAGAAGATCAAATGAGTTTCACTACCTTGTTCATTATCGAATGCTATGACTTGGATTGGGGAGAACGGGGACTGTTGACGTATTCCATTCTGAATGGAAACCGAGGGAATGTCTTCTCTGTATCTACTGATGGAAAAGTTAGCTTGACTCAGAATAGGCTTGATTATGAGCAGCTTAACTTGTACAGCCTTGTCATTCTTGTTGAAGATCTCGGAGAGCCATCACTGAAAGAGCTGTTTATACTCGATATTAAAGTGACAAATGTCAATGATGAAGCACCCGTGTTCACCACAGAAGAAATTGTGTTGACTGTCAGTGAAGGAGTTGCAGTGGGAACTTTGTTGAATACTGTCACTGCATCAGATGCAGATGGGGACACAATTACATACTCCAGCTCGACTGTCACTGAGGATTGCAAAGGGCTCTTCAATCTTAACTCACAAACTGGACAGCTAACTCTAGCGAAAGAGATTGATATAGTTTTGATGAACTCAATCGACTTGTGTGAAATATCCGTAAGTGCCAGTGACGGAGTGTTTACTACGGAGACTTTGATGTCTATTTTGATTACAGATGTTGACAATAATGCACCTATATTCTACTCTTCCCCAGCATTCACAGTAAACTTAGCCTCCTCAAATGTTGTCGGAGCAGTTGGAGCTAGTGATTCAGATTCTGGAGATTCAGATTTGGTCTACATAATCTCAACGACCAAAAGATCGGCAGGAGTTGTAGTCGATCCAAACACTGGTGTTCTCTCATGCCCTGACTCTGCCTGCACGGATGGTGATGTTCAAATCAAAGCCGCTGGACGAACACTGTCAACATCAAAGGTGGTTTCAATAACATTAGATTCGTCCTCTGTTCAAAAAATATTTTCTTACTCACAGTATAGCTTCTCGGTAAAAGAATCGGCAGCTGTTGGTTTCATAATTGACAGGATCAGTGTTCAAAAGGTGCCTGATAAAATGACCATAGAAGGTGGAAATAAAGGACTCTCATTCAGAGTTGAGAACAACAATTTAATTGTCAGCAAAGAACTTGACTTTGAAGTGTGGACTACATTCGATCTCACTCTCTGTGCTGTTTTAGACTCAGTTTCAACATTTTCAACGGTGGTAATATCAGTTGAAGATGTAAATGATAACATACCAACATTCCGTCCTTCTTCTTTGAGAAAGGAGGTAAAGAGCAATGTTTTAATTGGCACAGAAGTTTTTGAAGCGAGAGCTACAGACGCTGATTCTGGACTATCTGGTCAGCTTCTCTATTACTTAGAGGACTCGGTCTTTAGTGAGTACTTCAGTATTGAAACTCAAACGGGCATTATTAGCGTCAAGAAAAGTTTGAGTGAAGCTCCATTGGATATGGATATTCAAGTTAAAGCAAAAGATCAAGGCTCCCCTGCTAGAACATCCAACAGTTTCAATCTACTTATCAAGATTGTACACAAGCCTCTTCCTCCTCAGTTCAGTAAACCATCATATGATTTTGCTGCTTATGCTGATGCTTCTGCTTACTCTCTCCTTGGTCAAATTGATGTCGTCAACAACATACATGATGATTTTCACTATGCTTTCGAGGAAGATAATCAGTATTTTACCATTTATTCCGTATCAGGAAGTATCCTTCAAAAGACTCCGATCTCGAATAATCAATTGACAGAGATTCAAGAATCTGTAAAAGTTGTGTCCATGGCAGATCCAACTGTGTTTGGTACTGTGAAGGTGAACATAAGAATCATTCAATCGATCTGCACTCCCAATCCATGTAAAAATGGAGCAGCTTGTATAGATTCTGTTGATAGATACGAATGTGAATGTGTAGATGGAACTGCTGGTAAAAACTGTGAATGTGTTGACGAAAAATGCACAAACAGTGGCTTTTGTTTTTACAATTCTACAATGAGTGAAGCTATGTGTCTTTGTGAAGACGGAATGTATAGGGACAATTGTAAGAAATCGAACTCAGTCCTCTTGATTGCTGTAATCGGTGGAGCTGTATTTGTTATTCTTGTGATTATCTTATCTGTTGTTATCTACTGTTGCTGCGTCAGGAAGTACAGGAAGGGTAAGGACAAAAAAGCGGCAAACTCAGATTTCGAACATGCAGTGAATGGTACCAGACTTGGCAGTAACAAAAGATTAAAGGGACAGCTTCATTTGCAGGATAACATCTGCATGAATCCGATCAACATTTCAAACTTAGATGTTGATTCAAAGATCGGGTATCCAGAGTATACCTACACCAACCATGATTACGATCTGGACTCACCCCTTCCTCTTCAGTCTCCTTCTGTTGAGTTCCCACCTCATTCTTTCCAGTATGCTGCATCAGACAGCGGCCGTTCATCCGTGTGCACTGAGGCTGTCATCTTCAGAAAGTTGAAACAAGTTGATGAGCCCAATTCAGTGGAATCTAATAGAAGAGACAAAGACTCTGGCTTGGCCGGGTCCCTCAATACTTTGTGTCACTTTGATATGGACTACCAGTTCAATGAAGACTATTTGCATGACTGGGGTCCCAAGGTTCAGAACATAGTTAATTTTTTAGATTTGGATGATGCTGTTCTCGACGAGGACAGTCCAGTAAAAGAGGAATTTGTATAATTGTGTAATTTATTATTTTTATGAAGTAGTGGAGAGATACTTTTTTTAAACTCTCACTAAAACATTTTAAAATATACTTATATTTCCAATATTCGAGGGTATTCAGGTTTGGTAGTGGGTTTAATTATTGCGAACGAATTGAAACCTATCAGCTTTTAAATAGTATATTCAGGGGTAGAATAATTCGTTCAACAAGTTTACATTACTTCAATTTTTCAATAAAGTAACACTTTTTATTTCAGTTTTTATTTTCACCAAACATAATCAAAGGCTATTCACTTACATAATGAGATTTATACGATTAATTTATAACATGAATTTTCACCATACTGCATGCGCATTTAATGAACTGCTTTTGAAGTTTATAGCATAGTTTGAGTTTTACCAGCAGCACGTAGCATTTAGCTTATTTCTAATTTGATTTTTTAGAACATTTACCAGAAATTGTAGATTTTATCAGTTTAGAATCAGTTTAGAGTTCAGATTACTTGATTCATTCAGAGATTACATGTATTTTGTGTAAATATATCAGATACATTATATTATTTGTGTACATCATCACAGTTGACAAATTTATCATTATTTAATGATTTTTACTGACTTGAATGTTTTGTGTTTAATTATGCCTCTCAATGATTATTCGAATGAAAAGTGCAGACTCTGCACTGCAGAGCTATACAAATTTTTGAAATTTTCAATGGTTACATTTCATTGTTTAGCGAATTGAAAAATTGAATTATCAAAGTTGATCCTTGTACCTCACTCATTTAACTACTTTAAATTATACATCTAACCTTATCAAATACTTCTTGTAGGTAACATGGGGAAGCTTCAAAAGAAAGGGGAACGTGGGTCTGCCACAAATTACATCACCAGAACACAGGCAGTAAAAAAACTCCAGCTCACACTGCCCGACTTCCGTAAGATATGTATCCTCAAAGGTATTTACCCTCACGAGCCTAAAAAGAAAAGAAAGCTGGCAAAAGGAAGCAGTGCACCCAAGACATTCTACTACGCTAAAGACATCCAGTACTTAGCTCACGAACCTCTGCTACAAAAGTTTGCTGAGACTAAGATCTTTGTGAAGAAGGTAAAGAAAGCCTTGGGTCGAGAGGAGCTTGATACTGTCCAGCGAGTAAGGGACGCAAAACCCCAGTACACATTAGATCATGTTGTCAAGGAACGGTATCCCAACTTTGCTGATGCTATCAAAGATCTGGACGACTCTTTGTGCCTGATCTTTCTTTTCAGTACCATGCCTCGCCAAGGAAAGGTGCAACCTGGAATCATCAACAAATGCAGAATCCTGGCGGTACAGTTCATGCATTATTGTATTGCTGCGAAATGTGTGAAAAAAGTGTTTGTATCCATCAAGGGAATATATGTTCAAGTTGAAATTGACGGTAATGACATCAGCTGGATCATTCCTCATCAGTTTACCACACCTCCCCCTTCCAACATCGACTTCAGGGTCATGTTGTCTTTCCTTGAATTATATACCACAGTCCTGGGCTTCGTTAATTTCAAGCTGTATTCTAGCTTGAACTTAATTTACCCTCCCAAAGCTTTAGATGATGTATTCAGCGAGAAAAGCTCCATTTATTATGGTGACGATATTTACCGTGAGCGGTTAGAGTCACTGAATATTCAGTTGGCAGAAGTACCACAGTTGGAAGAAGATGAAGAGATTGATGAAGAATTGCTGGCTGGAGACCAAACGTTAGAAGATCTCGTTCAATCTCGAAAAGAAGAGGAAAAATTCAAAAATCTATTCAAGGAGTGCAAGTTTTTCCTGGGTAGAGAAGTGCCTCGGGAAATCTTAGTTCTAACAATCAAATCGCTTGGAGGAGAGGTTTCATGGTCATCAGATAGCGGTGTTGCAAGCACATTTGACGAGACAGATCCAGACATCACCCATCAAATAGTTGACAGACCCTCTCAGTCCCATCAGTTCCTCTCCCGGTGCTATGTGCAACCTCAGTGGATATTCGACAGTATAAACCAGAAGAAACTTCTCCCAGTAGACGAGTACGTGGCGGGATGTCTCCTCCCACCTCATTTATCACCCTTCGTCAACTCTGAGGGATACCAGCCTCCTGAGCAGGTAGAACTGCTGGATCGTAACAAGGTGGCAGAGGATGAAGCAGAACAGGAGCCTAAAGATGGAATGACTCCTGAAGATAAGAGGCTGGCAGTCATGGCCATGCCCAAGAAGAGGAAAATTCTGTACAACAAAATGGTTTACAGTAATAAGAAGAAAGCTAGTGCTGTTAACAAGTTAAAAAGAAAGCGTGAGGAGTTGGATGAAACCAGGGAAAATAAGAAAGCTGCTCCAGAATCATAGTCAGACCAATTTTAGCTTTCCCACTCTGAATTCTTTCCTTTAACTATTTATTTCTGCGGTGATTTTTGCTTTTATTCTGTGTACTTGAGCGGGTCTGGGCAGTTACTTTTACAAGTTTTTATAAATTATTCATTTTAAGTCGTTGAGCTTGAGCTGTCTGGGGTTTCTTATGTTTTAACCAAGTGATAAATTTTAACCAATCATTCTGACATAAGATAAATTGAAAGTAATTTATTATCAACACAACGTGTTTCATTAGATTACTGCTTTCAAATTTAACTATAGCGCCAGGGATGAAGTAGTCATAAGGGCGCTGCTTATATAGAGCTGTGAAAATATTGAACAACAATTTTGACTTCAAACTCTTTAAAAATTATTCAATCTATCGTCTTTAAGGTGACTTGTTCTACTGAATGTAACCTCACGAGTAACTTGTTCTACTAAATCTATACTAATCTCCCAGCATGGTATGAATGGAGAATCTCTACTAAACCTCCTCCAACAGAAGCTGCTCGCACACCCAGATTACACACAACTCGCTCACAGACTCAAGAGTGATGTACAGACTCATCCCACTAGAGATGAACAGAGAACCATTCTCTCTGCACTCAGGTAATAATCTCCTCATAAAGACCCCCCCCCCTGCCCCCTTAATCTCCTTATAAAGACTCCCCTGCACCCTTAATCTCCTCATAAAGACCCCCCTGCCCCCTTAATCTTCTCATAAAGACCCCCCTGCCCCCTTAATCTCCTCATAAAGACCCCCCTGCCCCCTTAATCTCCTCATAAAGACCCCCCTGACCCCTTAATCTCCTCTTAAAGACCCCCCTGCCCCCTTAATCTTCTCATATAGACCCCTCCCTGCCCCCTTAATCTCCTCATATAGACCCCTCCCTGCCCCCTTAATCTCTTATTCTTCTTATTGTTCTAGTCGGAATTTCTAATAACCGTTCGCGTTATTAGCTAACTTAAATGTGCTTACATTATTTCGGTTCTATCGGCTTATATTAGTAACACTATAATCTCTTCAGTAAGTATGATAAGGAGAACAAGCTGATAACGACAGTTCAACAAAGTCTCCTCTCCTTGGGATACCCCAACATATCCACTGCTGCTAGTGAGGCGCTGGTGACTCTGATAAAGAAAGATAAGAGCACAGTATTTGTTCTGCACCAATTCCTGAACCAGCCCCTGCCTAGTCCGCTCCGCTCCTCCCTGTACACTACACTGCTCAGTGAGGAGGCGGTGGGTGCTGGCTATATGGACGCTGTTAGGGACAAACCTTACTCAGCTCAGTCACCTCAGGTAATTATTAATATACTTTATCTGGTTATCGAGGGATTAGCTTTAATGTTGAGGGAAATTGGTGCAGTGTGCTGTAAAGCTGTAAAATCAGCGCCATTTTAGTTCATATTATATAATATTTTGAGTTTTTGATGGTGGTTATTATATTATTATGTAGATTGTTACAATCTAGTAACTTTAATTGCTTTCTAAAAAGACTGTCTCCAGGAGAATGTCATCAGAGAAAAAGTGAAAGGTTTTATCCAAAGCGTTCCCGGCTTTAGTACGTCAAAGTTTCTTCACAGTGAGAAGGGACATCAGCTAATGATCAAATCATTAAGGTGAGACGTCTACATTTATTACATTTTTATTCTAATTTTTATTTAGAATTTACCAGGAGTGTTGGTTAAATGTGCCATGTCTGATGTCATGGTGTGTGTAAATACACTACCCTAATAATATGTAACTGCCATAGTAATGTAACAAATGTTATTCACCAGTTACTGGCACATACACGTAGGACGCCCTCTGGCGGATATTGACTACAAACTCATGATACTGGTAATATCTCTGTCATGGGAAGAGGGGGATACGACAACTACAGTTACTAAAGTTATATCCTTGCTGGCTGGACTCTTTCACCTGCTGTAAGTTTGATTCGTTGTGATGATAGCCTTTATTTACTTATTTTCTGTGTTTATACATAATAATAATATTAATATTAATATGTTGACAACATATTAATATTAATATTATTATAATTTTAATATGTTGTGACTTCAAACTCTGCTATAGCTTATCTATAATTTGTCGCAAAGCACACAAGAGCAGCGATTTTACACGAATAATGTTGCATTATAACTTAACTGCTTCATAATGGAATGTACATCGTCAACAACTTTGAGCCGTCAATGAAGATGCTGAACATCGTGTATTCATAATTCAATTGTTACTCCTTACCCAATACAATACAACTAAAATATGATTACACTCGTTTTTCCCTCTTCCTATCATAATCACAACAAGTTCAAACAATCTGCTATTAACGATAACAAGTCATGTTAACATATTAAATCTACATGAAAACAAATATTCAAGTTGACGTGTATGAATCTCACATTCTAAACTCTAATTTCACATTCCAATCTGCAGCCAGACGCTGAAAGCAGCAGACCCGACCACACTAAACATAGTGCTCCAGTACGTGCAGCTAGCACAACCTGATCTCAGCGAACACATCATGTTGCTGAGACCGGACATTTCCTCTTCTCATACCACGCCCACTGCTCAGCTCGTAGCTACTCTTCACGAGAAACTATTTGTGGGGTTAGTGTTTTAAATATTGGGTCAGTAAAGCGTCGTGACTTCTAATCCTGGCTCCAATTTGAATGTCTACTCTGCGTCCATTTCCTTGCCGTGACTTTGAATTGTACTTTGGCGGTGAACGTTGAATGTTGAATGTTTTTACTAGTCCTACATATTTTTAAGTATGCTCTTTCCCCTAATAGTAACCTGCTATACTAGTCCAATATTGTTAACCTCCTCCTTCCCCCAGGTACCTCTCCGAAGCAGTGATCCTGTTCCTCCTGGACCAGTGTGTTATAGGTAGTGATGTTTCCTCCTACAACCCTCTCTTCTCCTTTACTGCCACCGTCCTCTGTCTCTGTTCTTCTGCTATTTCTCAGTGTAACAATGTGGGTACATACTCTGCTTACTTTTATTATTATCAGTCTGAAAAGTTGGTCCCTTTCACTTAGAGAAAATATTTTTATAATTCTGGTCGGTTTAACATCATTTATAAATATCCGAGCCCCTCACGTGTTGAATTTTGTCACAACTACAATAATCGATCATGTTATTTTGTATTGTGTTTTTACAGAATACAGTTGTCTGTTTGTCTAGATCTTAGCGTTGATTAACACGTGAGATGAGATTTAGAGAGATAAACTTTTGTCTTCAATCTTACTCTGGCTACAAATGTGTCATGTTGTCCGTATTTCAATATAACAAGTTGAAAAGGTCGATATTTAGTTCGCCAGATGGTTATTCTTACCCTCAAGTTCACAGCTCCATTTTGAAAAATGCTACAAATTGTGTTGTTTTATTTTGCTTTGTCCTAGAATTTCTGTTTTGATTCCTCTCGACAACGCCAATACTGAGCTGATTATATTCGAACAACCAATCAAACCATCTTAAATGTGCTCTATTTCTAAGCTAAAGTTCTTAGCCAGATTCCGTCACGACTTATGACGGATATATTATATAGTGTCATTATATACATATGTCAAGATGGTTGTCGATTTATCATTTAGCCAGCCCATTGTTATGATATTGAATAGTTTTAAACCTGACGTTCCACTCAATGACCATTTTGACACAAACCAGGTGTTTTCACGCTTCTAGACTTTAGTAGGGACTAGTGAACACTCTGAATAGTTTATAAAATTAATAGGCATGTTCCACCTTTACCTTTATCTTTTTGCAGCTGCCTAATTTTTCGACGAGCTGGAATATTTTTATTTTTCAAGCTTGTTCTCTACTTCAAGTTATTATTTAAATTTACTGTTATTATATGACCGGGCCCTCTGGTAGTGATTTAAACTCTCCACGTACTCTAGATGATAGTAACAAAGCTTTTTATCCTGTTTCTCCTCCCCTACTCTTTACACAGCCTCCCTCACCTCAACAACAGTACTGTGATGACACATCTTCAACACGAGGAGTCTCATGTCCTCCACACCATCATTGCTAACATCACCAACATAACACCAGTATCCAACACTTATCACCTTCCTCATGCCTGGAGATATTTCGTGATAACATGGTCCGTGTTTGTTGCTTTACTTTCCCTGTCAGGCAACTCCCTGGTCATGGTTTCTTCTGTCGGCTACAACGCTATAAAAGTAGACAAGATCTCAGTAGTGTTGATCAGAAACATTGCAGTTGCTGATTTGGGAAGCACCGTATTGGTGATTATTCCAACTATCGGCAGTCTAGTGGCAGACCGTTGGATCTTCGGAACAGGAATGTGTTACCTCACATCTTACATGGTTTGGGTTTTCTCTATCTCCAACAACCTGTTGATTGCCGGTCTGAACTGTAGCAAGTTGTTCTGTCTGATGTTTCCTTTTAGAGCTAGGTTAAGGACTCAAACGACTGGATGTAAAATCGCCATTGCTCTCTGGGCGATAACAATCTCAAACTTGATATTCAACGCTGCTTTGCAACGTCCCTGTGCTTTTGAAACGTTCATTGACCGTTGTAACATTCAAAGTTACACTCCATTTTGGGCTCGAGTCGACTTAGCCGCCTCCATAATATTCGCAGTTATCCCCCTGATGATAATCCTAATCTCAACCTTTAGTCTCTTCTTAATCGTCAGATCTCGGGGCAGACTCCAATCTAACAACATTGTACTCATACTTTCTGTCTCCATTGTTTACTTAGTATCTCTGGGACCCTTTATAGTTTACCAAAGTCAGACTCAACTCGAGGAGGGGTTCTATGCGTTCTCAGTGTATGTTTACTATGTCAGTACGATATCTAACCCTTTCTTGTACTACTGGTCCAGTGCAAGTTTCAACGAGTTTGTGAGGGAGATGGTTGGTAGAGTGAAGGTGTATTTTAGTGGGTTTTGTAGAGGTACTAGTACTATTAGTGGTGGGGTTGGTGATCATTCAGTGGGTGGTATGAGGAAGACAATTACTGAACGTTTAGCAATGTCAAGTGTGGTTATTGGTGACAACACTTGAGAGACTCTTCAGAATTAAGAATATGTGTTAATTTCCCGACATTGTGTTAATTGCATTTTTTGTTTTTTTAGAACTGAATTTCAATTAGTGTTCTAAATTGCAAAAATTGTCATCAATACAGGAATAACTTTTATCATTCAAAGTCATCCCTCAAACCAACACTAAAATTGCCTCTCAACTCTTACAAACCCGCTCAGGTCTCCTCCGCTCTCTCTCACATAGAACAACGTGGTATTGCGGTCACCACCAAACAAGTCCAACAATTCATCCAGATGCACTACATAGACTCTCTAGCTACTCAACTGTCCACTAAACCGTCCCGTGTCCACTTTAACCCTAAACCTACCACTCTGGGAGAGGAGGCTCACTCTGAGACTCCTGATAACAGAAGGTAAGAGTTGGTGAGAGGTTGTATCAGCTAGGGGACAGGGGTGATGTTTTAACCGTACTTTTTTAGTGGAGTTTCTTTGGCTGTTCTGAATCAAAAATCGAAATAATGGTACCACATTCTATATGTTTCCCGTTTTATCTCCAAATGTAATGTGAGTCCCGGTAAGAATTATAATTAAACTGTAACGAAAATTCCTTGAACTACAATTAGAAATTAGAATTATCAGTTCGCCAAATATTCGATTTTAAAACATGACGACACTTTTTAAATGGTTTGACCTAGTCAAGGAGTTTAAAATCCTTATATTTCGTGAAGAAAAGTCTAGACCAAAATTCGTATTCTAAATTCCTGAGTTGACGAGATTATTAAATCAAAGTACCCTAAATCATAACATTACGGTCAGTTTAATACAGTTTACTGCAATAACTTTGGTGCAACTTGTGCGTTATTATCTGCCAACGGAAATAAATCCTTGTTTTTTAACAGAAAAAAAATTTGCAGATTGTTGAAGGATATGGAAGATTTGAGGAAGAAGCTGGCGGAGGAGAAGAAAGAGAGGAATGATAAACATGTAGCTCACAGGAATGAGATGGCGATACTGCGAGCTGAGAACGAAGATTTAAAACGACGGGTACGTCCTCTTCACTTGTTTTTAAGTAAACCTGTTCTGTGCAGATTTTTGATAAGTTGTAGTACTCGGTAGAGACGTAATGAAAATTGTGCACTCTAAGACATTAAGAAGTTTCTAGATCATTGGAAATATTTTGGGATATATTGTTAGACACTTGACCCATCTTGGGACAATGATTAATTGTAGATGCAAATATCTTCATTCAGAACATCTGTTACCTTGACATATATACCGTGCTGAATGTTTCTTACTTCTTCCAATGCATTCTCTTATAATTATATTTGGTAAAAATGAAACTCCGACTTGCTCAAAAACGTTATCCAAATATAATATGCCTTCTCCAGAGCTACGTATTTATTTAATATATTATATTGGTTCGGCTTCCCGATCTTATGTCCTCATCTCTAGCTATTCTCACAGTTGAACGCTACAAAAGGACCCGACATCATAGCACCAGTAGTAGTAGCAGCACCTTTAGTAGCTGCCGCCTCCCTCCCTGCAGTTACTCCACCAGCTCCACCACCACCAGAGTCTATACCTGCATCTGATCCAGATCCTATGGACGAGCCTGAAGATGAAGACACTGGTGAGGAATCTTTTGAAGTTAAATAATTCATCCATATATCCCATAACGACACGTGCAATCGTGCAATTAAATTTTTGGAATGAAATTTGTCAAAACGTCTATCACGCGTAAATTTGACTGTGTTTCCGAAACACTAATTTCTAATACTATCTAACAGTTAACTACCAGGTGACATCAGTGGTCCACTGACAGCACCTCTAACTCAAAAGCAAGTACAGAACCTCTGGCTGGACATTGCCCGGAATGTCATGCAGCGAGTTAAGCGGCTAGCCTTCAAGAACCCAACTAGAAAGAAGGAACTAGACACACTGACATTCTTCCTCAACAAACAATACGAAGAGGTTTGAGTTTACACTACAAATTTGTATGAAAGTTTTAAAATTATCTAATCTGTAAATTGCTTAAATTCTCGGTTTGGTAAGCAGGGAACTTCTCATAGGATATAATATTATTTATATGAGGGACACTACTTTAACTTCTTTTCTAAAGCTTTTTCTTACTCAGGACCGTGCCCGGGCGGAGATGGAACTGTTTGGAGGTGAAATGCAAGCGGAGGACTGGGACAACCTGTCGGAGGAGGAGTACTATGAGAAGATATACCAGATAGACGTGTTTGTGGAGAAGTTGGTGAGGGAGAGGTTGGAGGAAGAAGCTAGTCCTGATGGTGGGAAGAAGAAGAAGAAATAGAACACTGTTGTTTCCGAGACTGTTTCTTCTTGTCATTACAAATACAGTATGTTGCGGTGGTTTTAGGCCAAGAAACAGGATTACAGTTTATGATAATAAGTTTTTTGCGCACCGTAATTGTTTAAAACCTCTCAGATTTTTTCACCCATTAGAATTAGTTATAACTTGTTTCCGAAGTCAGTAAATCATATGATAACCACCCTTGTCCCGAACCCTGAAGGTCGCATTTTGTGACCCATTTAACCAGATCCTTTGTACAGATCATTGTAATTAATGTATTTAAGTTATCGTTTTACTTTTATAAGTTAAAATTTTATTCACAATTAACAATATATATGTTCTCAGCTTCAGTAATTATGTCAGATTTTTAATCAGAGTGTGAAATGTAATGAGATATTTTAACATGTACAGAATTATAGTAAATAATATCGTTGATCAATATTGTTCTAGTTAAATTGTTTCTATTCAACATAATATTTTAGTTGACACAGTTGTTGAATTGCTTTTAAGTGATATGACAAAGCGTGTAAAATGTTCAGTAGAATAATATAACTTTATTAATATAACGAGTAAATTTGTTTCTCTATGTCCATGTAATCAATCTGAAAATTTAATTAGAAATTCCAGAACTTCTACATTCAAAGAAATCGCTTTAAAATATTCAGAATTCATCCCGTCATCAGTCACTATTGAATTGCTATTAAGATAATCGCCGCATCAAGCTCCGGAGCCATTAGATAGCAATATGCGAATGACTGCCATATGTTTTGAAATTTCATTACTACCTGTTAAGTAAGGTATCAGATTCCCTAAACACGCTGTTCTCAGCATAACTTCACGAACTATTGGTCGTTATCACGTGACTAATGTAGAGGACCTCTATTGGATTGTTCCTGTCACGTGATATGGGAACATGTCCTTAGTTAGGGTGGGAACATTAGCCGTAGTAAAAACATGTGATGAATTGGGGATCAGTGTCCAAACTAGTGCTACTGTAAGTGCACTATATAATTATTTGAAAGTATTAAGACTTTATTTAAAGGCCCACAAATTATTTAAGTTTGACAAATAAGTTATTACTTCCAAACGAACTACTGGTTATCTTGAAATAGCGAGATTGCCTCAAACTCCAACCACCAACTAACACGCCCCTCTCTCCCCTGAAGGGACCATGTCTACCCCAGCTAGGCGGCGTCTCATGCGGGACTTTAAGCGTCTCCAGGAGGACCCTCCCACAGGGGTCAGCGCAGTGCCTACTAACAACAATATCATGCTGTGGAACGCCATCATATTCGGTCCCTCAGGTAACGTTTCTGTTGCAAATATTTTCTAGAAAAGCAAGGAAATAGAAGCTGATTCTGGGTACCAGCCAAACTTTTTGTTTGTGATGATTTTCAAGTTACACTTTTATGTGAATTGCATCATGTAATAACACAGTTATGCCTGATGATGATATTATAATATAACTAGAAAACCCGTGGTCACAGGGAGGAAGCTAATTGTATTTTTTGTTTGTAAGTTCAAATCGCGTCAAAAAATATCCTACACAACCAAAGATACAGCCGATTAAAATGTTGCTCGCACTAAACACAACATAATATCAACAAAACCAATAAAAATGCCGTTTTAACAATCTTTGCACGTGCACGTGCGTGTAGCAACCCTCGTTACCATGGTTACTTTTCAACCTTTTGCTTTTTACCTAATTTGCACGTGGGCGGTCGTACAGACAGCAGAAATAATTCTCTGAATTATAGTAGAGATACCTGGGGGGGGGTCAACATCATTTTACCTCATGAGGCCAGCCAAAAAAGGCAAAATTGGGATGAGGTAAAATGAGGTAAAATGAGGTAAATAAATCTAGTTTTTAAAGCCTTTTTTTAGATACAAAAAAGGTTTATTCGAAGTCATTATACTATAATTCGAGGCTGTGCATGGTCTCCCATGATATTGAATGGTTTATTAGGGGTGATGTGGTCTCTGGGAAGGGGCATTCCCAGTTTAACCTACTTACTCTCCAAACTTGGGGTAAATAAAACTTCGCATTATAATTATTATTTATGAAAAGAAAATTGAACATTTCAATTTCCATGATCCATTAGGATATTGTTAATAGCACTTGCTAAGTTTTGTAAAGGAATTAGCAATAACTTTAGTGTCACTTTGGCAGTTGCCAATTTATGGGGATATTTCCGCATTGCATGACATGGACCATTTAAATAATATCTTAATTTGATATTGCGATTATCGAGTCACTCTGAAACAAATTGTGTCTAACTAGACCAAATGTAAACAACAGTTGTGCATGGAACTGGATTGGATATCTACATAAATTTAGTCGAAATTGCATATAGTGAAAGGTCATTTCATAATAAATTTCTCATATAAACTCATACTTCATACAATTCTAAGTTCTTATGTACATGTTCAATGTTCATGATTCGCTGTAGAATATAGGGCGGTTCACAAAACTACTTTTCGTTCAAATAATTAGTTGCTCTATAGGGTCAGGAACAACCAAAAATTTTTTTGTGTCTCTACGGTTTCGTATAATACTGACTTGGGCCACGCCCATATTTTTCACCAATTTTTAACAGGTAAAATTATCTAAATCGTCAATTCAGTCACGAAGGAGTATGCGAGGAGTTCTAAATGTGTGCTCCTCTAATATAAACAGTAGGAAATGATTAACTTTAGTCGAGGTTTCAGGTCTCTACAATGTCAGGAAGTTCCTGCAGGAATTTTCGCATTGCGCTGAAGCGCAAGATTCACTGCGCCAAAAGCGAAGGTCGTAGAGACATGAGACCTTGACTAAAGTTAACCATTTCATACCATTGCTATAAGAGTATGCCACTTTCAGAGTCCTGAACACACTCCCATATCTCTTAATCGTCAATTATATGAATTTTACCTGTTAAAATATATCATCTTTAACTGATATAAATTTAGTTTAACACTGTTAGTTTTAAAAAAGAACATAATACTTCACACCTAACTAACGCACAATATGGTAATATAAAAAAGGAAGGTTTTCCTTGGATTCCAAATTCAACTTTGATTATATCCTGGCACTGATTATCATTTCTCGATTGTTATCCATTTTTCAATGCAGTCAGCAAGTTCCAATTTAGGTAGACTAGGTTTTCGCATCTTCATATTATGTTCAGAAGCAGGCCAGAAGGGGTTGTTACCAGAGGAATATCTTCTTGGAACAAGGGAATTAATGAGGTCTTCATTTATTTGGGAAGTTGGTCGTATAGCTCCGGACAGTCTATGCACGGTCCCTGCACGGTCCATGCAACAACAAGAGAACACTCCATGCACGGTCCCTGCACGGTTCCTGCACAATGAACACTTGATGCACGGTCCCTGCACGGTCAGTCCCTGCACACTCTCTGCACGGTCTATGCACGGTCCCTGCACAGTAACATATGAACACCGGCTACTAGCCGGCTAGTAGCCACTTTTGTAATAACAGCTCCTCAACTTCACATTACCAAACCGGCACTTAAAAAGTGGTCACTAGCCGGCTACTAACCGGCTACTAGCAAGACAATGATTACTCCATAGCTCGTCACTAACTGGATCAGCATAACATGACTAACAACTAACGAGGTCCAGTGATCTTTTGCTGATACGTCAAGACAAGATCAGTAAATAGCTATAAATATCGAAAAAAATTAGCTTAGAAATTACAGAGTACACATGCCTTCTTTACAACTAACTCTTTGGCCTCATCTTTTTAAATCACTCATTCCCTCTGAAACAAGATAATGCTTAGGACTAGGAGGAACTTAGTTAACTTCTTGTATGATTCAGTAAGAGGAAAATTCGTTAGTAAGCTAACATTCTTTTGTAGGATGTTACCACTTATCATATCTGTAATCCAGCATAATCCCACAACTAGACTCTCTTATTCTTGAGTCTTGACAATGACAGCAGCAATGTACACTATTTTGATGCTCGGTCCAGGTCTCCAAGAAAACCTTCCTTTTTACATTCTCATATTGTGTGTTAGTTTGGTGTGAAGTATTATTTTATTTTTTTAAACTAACAGTGTTAAACTAAATTGATATCAGTTAAAGATGATATATTTTAACAGGTAAAATTCATATAATTGACGATTAAGAGATATGGGAGTGTGTTCAGGACTCTGAAAGTGGCATACTCTTATAGCAAATGGTTAACTTTAGTCAAGGTCTCATGTCTCTACGACCTTCGCTTTTGGCGCTGTGAATCTTGCGCTTCAAGCGCAATGCGCAAATTCCTGCATGAACTTCCCGACATTGTAGAGACCTGAGACCTCGAATAAAGTTAACCATTTCCTACTGTTTATATTAGAGGAGCTGAGCACACATTTAGATCTCCTTCCATACTCCTTCGTGACTAAATTGACGATTTAGAGAATTTTACCTGTTAAAAATTTGTGCCGAGATTTACCTCATTTTACCTCATGAGGCCAGCCAAAAAAGGCAAAATTGGGATGAGGTAAAATGAGGTAAAATGAGGTTGACCCCCCCCCCCCCCCCCAATACCTTTATCCAATCTTAATAACTCTAACGGTATCTATTTCAGACACGCCGTTCGAGGATGGTACGTTTAGACTAACAATAGAGTTCACGGAGGAGTACCCCAACAAGCCTCCCACCGTCAAGTTTGTCAGCAAAATGTTCCACCCAAATGTTTACAGTGATGGTAGTCTCTGTTTAGACATCTTACAAAACAGGTTTGTGTCTCATTAAATAAGAATTTCATTCCTACATCAAGTCAAGTTCTATTGTACACTTTAAGTTACGCCGTTACTTAGTAACGGTGACGAAGCTTGAATTACTTGAGTGATCAGGTCGTTTTAAAAACAAAAGTCTTCAATTTCTATCTACTAAATGTGTTTTGCAGGTGGAGTCCTACCTATGACGTGTCAGCTATCCTCACCTCAATACAGAGTCTGTTAGACGAACCTAACCCTAACAGTCCTGCCAACAGTCTCGCTGCTCAATTATACTTAGAAAACAGGTTACTTTCTTCATGTTATTTTATAGTAAATTGCAGCTTTACTTTGAGTTTTTTATCATGAGAAGTAATTAAAATGTATCATAACCAGAACACCTGTTGTTTACTTTAGCTTTTGTTGGTCGCTGATAATCCAACCAGACTAATTAGCCCACCTTTTCTAACAAAACTTAATCCAGGAGAGAATACGAGAAGAAGGTAATAGCAATAGTGGAGCAGAGCTGGATAAACACGGACGGTGATGCTGATGACTCAGCCACGGCTGTACGCTCTACTCGCTCATGAGAACAGTCCCCTCCCCTGATCTTAGTATTCTGAGATACCCTGCCACTCACGTTGGGAAAGTGATCGCGAGATATGATGTTTTAGTTGTGGAGCTGAGGACAATATCTGTTGAGTTCGTTTGGGACTCTCGAAATTTGTTGTGTTGATTGAAGTGAACTCAAGGATGTGATGGGTGACCAGTACGTAGCGGTATCTGTTGCTTACTAGTTGAAGAAGTTAAAGTTTATCTTATGGTTTTTGTCTTGAACGAGAAGTGGTGGATGTTTCATCGTTGCTTCGTGTTTGACGTTGAATGTTAACTTTCAAAAAGAGTAGAATTTCTCTGATTCTTCTTTAATGCTTGAAATGCAATGCTTACTTTTGATGAGTGAAAGTTGGTTTTGAGATGCACTCTTTACCTGATCTTGCTGCTCAGGTTTTAAATGTTCTTAATTTCTATTATTTTCTAAGATAATTATGTATTGATAATTATTTCAATGATTTGACCCATTTCATTTAACCTTGTTTCACTCTCAAGTATCAAATATATTTCACCAATTCATTTCTGAGTTTCAGTAAGCCCCATATCCAAGAGTTATATCATACTAGACCCTACCATGTGATAGGTTCATTCTTTAAAACCATTTTACAGTAAGAATCTGAAATACTAAACTCAGTATTATTTTTATCCTTAATTTGTATTTGTCTTGACTAACACCAATGTACAATATTATACTTGAATATCCTTGACACATATCAATATTCCGTGTAGTGACGAGTAATTAATTAAATTCATGTAAGATTGTCAGATCATGTAAGATATCACCATTCCTGGGAGTGTACACATACCGTAAAGTGGAGGTCTCCTAATTCACTTACTATCACATACATACCTCTTCTTATGCCAAGATGAATCATACAGCCAGGGTTACCATAGCAACGACGGTGGCTGTAACTGGGGCGGGAGTATTACTGTATGCGTTATATCAGAAGTTTCGGAGCAAGGAGGGAGATGTTGATGAGACTGATTCTGGACCTTTTGTACCGAATATCACCAAATATGGTAAACCTGCTGCGGTACAGGAGTTAAAGAAGCCAGGGTATTTCATCATGTACAACAATCAAACAAAGACGCCGGTTTATGTGGTGGAGAAGTTGACGCCTGAGACCTTTACTGAAGGAATTCATGTCGAACGGGATCACATGGGGTTCCACATTGAAGATGCGATCTGGAGTGATGCTATCCGATCTACTAACGCTGATTATGCCGGGTCGGGGTATGATCGTGGTCACATGGCAGCTGCTGCAAACCACACCAGTTGTCAGGACGCTACTATGGATACCTTTACTCTGAGCAACGCTGTGCCTCAGTTCCCGGCCTGTAACCGAGGCAACTGGAAGATTTTAGAGAATTACGCCCGGGCACTTGTTAAAGCCAGTGTTGGAGTCTACGTTTACTCGGGTCCCCTGTTTATACCGCAAGAGACAGGCCAGTCACATGATAGATATGTGATATATCAAGTGATCGGCCAGCATACTGTAGCCGTCCCCACTCACTTCTTTAAGATTATCATCGTGGAGAGATTCAAGGTAAAGGCCACAGTGGAATGTTTTCTGGTGGAGAATGCCCCAAATTTGAAGAGTTTGACTCTGCAGGATATGGGTGTGGAGTTGTCAGATATTGAGAGGTGGTCTGGTTTGGTATTTGATAAACTGCACAAACTTGTCTGATTTTAGCCGTCCTCCAGCGCCTGTAATGGCGTGTTCAGAGACTTTTAATATTTAATGTTTTATTTTTTGATGTCAGACATTTTTCAGTTTTAACGATAACAAACAATGTATATTTTTTGTCGATAACAAACATTTCAAAGTAACTATAGTACTAATACTATTAAAACTATTTTGTCGATATTAATAAAAATGCATGATTGTTATCAATACATAGTTATGTGAGCTATTTAGAATATTATATTATTGCTTCAGTCTTAATTTCAGAAGTTTTATCAATTGTCAGTGCTATAGTGTATGATACGTGAATCGATTTAAAATGGAACATAATTTTGCATGCTATTCGGTGTAAGATTAACCGCACTGTGAGTGCTCCAGTTTATTATCTGCTTGAGAAAGTTGATGGTCTCTCTTGAGACTTTTTGCCGATCGTAAATTGTGTAAAATCGTGTGAATTAAGACTATTTACCGTATGTTTATTTTGTTGAGACTTTTTAGCTATTGAATTGAGGTAAATGTGCACCAACCATTTTATTTACAGTATACAATTTTATTTATTGAGAATGAGAACAATTTGTTAATTGTTCATTGCAGTTAGAAATCGACCTAAAATTTGGCAAGTCCAAGGTTTGGGTTTGAGTTTTTCACTGGTTTGGTTCGAAGATGTAATCATATCTCCCTCGGACACATATCAAGAATCCTCCTCAAATAAACACGCTCTCCACGACTAACTGAAATTCATTAAAAAAAAGCTCTGGTTGGGCCATATCCAGAAAGACGACAGATAATCTGCTAGGAAATTTTGGAATTTAGAGGAAATTTGATACCACAAAAGAAATTTGATACCACAAAAGAAATTTGTAATTGTGTAAGACCTTTTTTCCCCTTTTTTTTCGGGCATAAAAAAACATTGAACTGCAGGGAAATTTAAAGTTTTCTGTATGTGGGATGGTTCGTTCGACGAAGATTAATATAATTTTTCGAGAAAAACTCTCGGTTTGGTCCTTTTCTTATGTAAACAAAAATAATGGCAATTCGTTTAGCATGTAGATTGTAGACGTGAGCTTTTTAACTTAGATCGTTTACATAAAAGTCTTCGCGAAATTCTTCATCTTTAAATATTAATCCAGTTTTTTCTGTAATAAATGGCATAAAATTGAACTTTCTGTTTAACTGATCTCCGTGTTTTGATTTATTACCACCCCTTAATAACAGCCGCTCATGTCGGCATTCTAACGCGGCAATTGAAGCTGAGTCTGAAGGAGTTATGAACTTTTCAATGAATGCCTTGGGAATAAATCTTGTCAACAATGAACCTGGACAGTTGTTTACTTTAACTTTTTTGATCGCTGACAATTGGTATCCAATGAGACTCGCATCTACTTTTAACAAGATGGACCCCACTGTTAAAGTCACTATTGCCCTAACTGGCGCTGGGGCGTTGCTTTATGCCATATATCAGTGGTTCAGGAGTGAAGATTGTGACTCACCTTTTGTGGCGAATATCACTAAATACGATAGTCACGTGGCCAACATCACCAAATATGGTAAACCAGCTGTCGTTCAAGAGCTTAGGAAGCCGGGGTATTTCATCATGTACAACAGTTCAACGAAAACGCCTGTTTACGTCGTGGAGAAGTTGACAACAGAGAGTTTTACTGACTGTTTTGTTGAACGAAAAGACAAGGAGTTTCAGAGTGAGGATGCTCTCCGGAGTGCTACAATGCGATCTACCAACGCTGACTACGCCGGATCAGGATACGATAGAGGTCGCATGGCAGCTGCTGCTAACCACACCAGATGTGAGGACGCCAGAATGGAAACATTAACTCTGAGCAACGCTGTTCCTCAGTTTCCAAACTGTAACAAAGGGAACTGGACTATCCTGGAGAATTACGCCCGGGCCCTCGTTCAAACCAGCACTGGAGTCTACGTGTACTCGGGTCCTCTGTTCATACCCCAGGAGGTGGGTATATCACGTGACAGGTATGTGGTGTATCAGGTGATCGGGGAGAGCACGGTGGGGGTTCCTACTCACTTCTTCAAGATTATTGTCATGGAGGGGTTCAAGGAGAAGGCTCTGGTGGAATGTTATTTAGTAGAGAATACTCCAAATGCTGAGAGTTTGACTCTGGAGGAGATGCGTGTGGAGTTGTCTGATATTGAGAGGTGGTCTGGTTTAGTTTTTCATAAATTACACAATCTTGCCTGATTTTCGGGTCGCAATAGCAAGATTTTAAAATGTAAACAATATGGACTGTGATATTAAGTCGTGTTGTGATGTAGAGTTATTGATTGTAAATATTTGAGCGACATGATATTTAACATGATATTATGTACATTTACATTGTACTATCCAGCAAAAATACACTACCAGCAACGTTATCTCATTTTGCTATTAATTGTAAAATGTGTAGTTTTGAGTTTAGTTACACCGTTAGTTTTGAGGCATATCTTTAGCTACAGGAATTGTTATAATGCAGAAACTATACTCAATACAATACATTTTACTATAATATTCATATCATCTCTGGTCAGCACTCAGCATAGTTTGGGAAATCATAAAAGATTAAATGTTATCCCCAAATACTTCAGGGAAATGTTGATGCGCACAGAATTAACTCTATCTTAACAGACCAATTTGATTGGCTTAGATTTTAAGTGCAACTTAATGCAGATCACCATAGAGTTACACCCACGTAGACCCACACAAAGTGCTCGTTAAAATACAGATTGCACGCCAAAATACATACCATGTCATGTACTCACCAAATTTATCTAATTGATCGCATGTTTTAAAATAGAAATCCTCTGTAATATAGAGTATACAAATAGCCACAATGTCACAATGTCAAAGTGCTACCCACAAGTAGTTCGCTACAATACACCTTTCAAGAGGACATCTCAGGGGACATACTTCACACATTCTAATCTGCCTACGTGTGAAATATCCTGTTTGACTCTGATATCTTGATAAGATCTAATTGCTTCCACGCTAACATTTATACAATTGGACTATCAAAGACGTCCAAGTTTAGTGGGAAGATAAAACGGTACACAGTACGAGATTAAGCAGCTAGATATAATACCATGATATTATACGGCACTGGAAAAACTAGATCAACCCTAGCTATTTTATCAACTTTATTTGTAATACCAAATATTATCTCACATTATTGGCCTACTATCTCTGCAAAATCTCGGACTATCAACTATTAAACATTTAATTTTAACCATTTAGCTGTCAAATATGACTAATTAATAATTAAAAACTAATTATTAAATACCGCCACTAGGCCTAGCAATCATGGCGGACGAACTGCCTCCCTACATGAAGCCTCTCTTCATGTCAGGTGGCTCTCAGAAGATATTCGACTGTGTCTGCGACGAACAGGTTAGTCTTACGGAAGTATAATAGATAACATGTTCTGTACCTAAAGTCTAAATGATAAGAAGTTTGTTTGGGGCTGTCAAATCGTTTTTGTTAAAATCACATTATTATATTATCTTAATGACGTCTTATCATTGAGGGTTATTTTTAGCTGACCGTTTTAGTGCATTCACTGCTCGTGAATTGATTATCATAAGACATGATTTACCTGAATAATCGCTGCCATACTTGGATACATGACCATATTTTGATAATCTTCTAATTAAATGAAATGTTAAACTTATCTGTGTCTTACGTCGCCTAGGTAACAGAGGAGAATCCCCATATTCTTATATCAAAAGCCAAAATCATGGAGGATTTCAAGATGAGAGCTGCCGTCTGTGATTTCCATCCCATCAAGAAACAGGTACAGTAGATGTAGTTAAGACGTACTGAAGTTATCCTGAATTCAAAACACTTCAGTGTTCCATTTAGAACGGCTGTAAAACAATCTCAATATTTCAGGATGTAGCTGTTCTTTAAATTGGTGTATTTAGAAGACTTGGAATTCACTAATTAGTATTACATCCCTATCTAATACCATCCAAATAACATGTTGCTCTATCACCTTTCTATTACCTTTATACCTGTTATAATCTACCCTACAGATAACAAGCTACCCCGGAGAGGAGATCCTCATTGTGTACGACCCTGACTACAAGTACGGTGAGAACTTCTACGTGTGTTTGACTGAGGCTGGCAAGGCTGAGTACCTTGATTCTTTGAAGAAGGAAGAAGAGGAGGCCGAGGAAGGTTTGTAGTAATGGCAGTATTTTGAGTTTTTATCTGCCGATAAATGCCCAATTGTTCTATTTTGTAGGTATCATTTGATGGAATGTTGCAACACTATTGTTCTGTTTTCATATTATTGTCTCTACAATATTACCATGATCACATTATATTTAAACTACTACATTTTTAGAGGCAACAGCTGAAGCTGAAGCTGAGTCTGAGGAATATGACGAGATCGCTCTCGAGGACATAATCTTGAAAGACCTACCCTCGACCCCTGCTACTTGGCAAGAACAGGGCAGTGAGGAAGATCTAGAGGAGGAGATTCTCACTACTTCCCGATCTCTTATAACCTTCATGATCCAGCGCAAACGCAAAATGTTTGGCACCCCCACTCAGTTTGAAGATAGGAATGTGGACGCAGCAAAGGATGCTTATATCGAGTGCACATCATTTGAAGATAACACTTTTGATCTGCACCGACAGGAGCATGATTTTGCGGTTCAGAACGTGATGGAATCTTGCGAGAAAGCTTGCCAGACAGAGTGGAAGAAACCACGTACAGCCCTGTCTCAGTACGTGCCACGTACCCTCCCTCCAGCACAGCTGGAGAAGATCAACAAGTCGGAGGACCTGGCTAAGTTTGTTGAGAGTGTGTGCCCGAGGTTCAAGTTGGCGCTCCAGCAAAATGAAATTATGGACGTCTTCGCAGGTTCTGATAGAATTCTTTGCTTATAATCTGGTGTTAAATTATACTAATGATATTGAATTATACTGATGATCCCTCGTCGGGAACATTTAGTTAGATTAACGTAAAAAATGCGGCATTAAAACTTTTTACACGACCGGCCCTTGTTACGGTGGATTATTCTTATATATTGCAATAATAAATGTACGGTGTCTTACAGCCTCATGTTTTCCCAGATGATTACAACGACTTGATTGATGTTGACGGTGTGTTCGGAAACAAAGCAGATAACAATCTCAAAGAATACCAATCCTTTACCGATCTGGAGTTCAGTAAAAACAAGTCCATTGCGCAGATTGACTGGCACCCGTCAATAAAAGGTTCGAATTTCATGAATTGGCTAGACTTAGCCAACAATTAGATTTAGATTTAGCCAACAATTCAGCCTTAAAACTTTTAACGGCAATTCATTGACGGATTGACGAATTGGCAGTTTTGTTAGACTGTAATTTATCTGTTGACACCAAAAAGTTAGCACTTATTCATGATTTTGGTCCGACCAGGAATTGTGGCTGTCGCGTACACAGAGAAACTCAAATACGACGACCGTGTAGATCTTTCTAGTAGGATACTGATGACACCTTCTTTGATCCTTATCTGGGGGTTCTCCGATCCTATTCATCCTCAGTTGGTTTTAGAAGCTCCAGAAGATATCTATACCTTTAAATTCAATCCAACTGATCCTAACATTGTAGCTGCTGGTTGTATCAATGGACAGGTGATTGGCTATGTTTTTCTTTCAAGATTTTATCAACAGAAGCTAGAATGCTTTTCAATTTGTTATCCTTTGAAGGTTTACACCTTCACAATGCGTTTCCATAAAACTTGAGGATTGAAAAAATAATTCTTTACTGTTGATATTAAAACTCTCATCTTAACAGGTAGTGATGTGGGATATAAGTCAGTACGATGCACGACTGCGCAACCACAAGAACACAGGTGCACGTGCAAACAAGACGCGCAGCGACTTGTTCGACGTGGAATACCAGCGCTCTCCAGTGGTCCACTATGCGGCAGTGTCCTCTATTGAAGGGAGTCACAAGATGGCAGTTATGGATCTGATGTGGCTACCTGATACTATTGAGGTTGCTAGGATGGGAGTTCCTGTTGAAAACAAGGCTCAGGTTTGTAATTTTTAAAAAGCTCTTAACGAAATTTGACATGTTTTTTATCATGCGGTCAGTTGAATAATGTTTAAAAGTTAATATCTTCCCTTACATCATAGAGATTTTACGCCCTAAAAATTAAAAATCAGATAAAATGTTTTTAAGGCTCGGGATTATATTTAAAGACATGTTTGCAGGCGTCGTGCCAGCTAGTAACGGTAGGTATAGACGGTAACGTAATGTTCTGGGACATCAGACTGCAGAAACCAGCCGGCACAGGTGGGCTGGGTGGCCTCGGTTCAACCACTAAGAAGGAGCGTGAGACTGCCAAGGAGAAATTCAGTTCCATACCCTCAACCTTCTCTCATCTGGATCTCCAAGTATGTTGGAAATTGTTTGGTTTACGGTAGACGGACTTTTTAAAAGTATGATCGTGATAACTAATATTAGCGATGAGCATTAAACTAGGCTGGTCCAAGATGCTGTTTATAATCTGTAATTCTCCTGTTCGTCCGTCCTCCATTACTGCTCAATTTGCAGCTATAGTATCAGACACGTTACAAAGGATATACTAATCTACCCTCTTTGAGGTCGACAATTTCTAACCGCCATGAATGTTGATTCACAATGATTTCAGTGGAAGCCGATAAACGTAGTACCGCTATCCAAACTTACTGGACCAGGGCTGCACCCAGGAGTAACACTGTCCATCTCACAACAACTCCTGATCGTCAAGTCTAAGATGCAGAGTTTAGTGTCCGGTAACCCCCCTCTCATCCATAGGACCAACTCCTCCGTCAGTAGGCAGAGACCTGTTGAGGTAATTACTGTAGTCTTTTAGTTATGTAATTGTGGGAATTTTTAATTAATACAAATGGGAAATCTAAAACATGTTTAACAATGATTTCTTAATCGTTGGTTGTTTTAATTACAGCACGAAACATGAATAGAAAGTTTAGGGTGCTCTTTAAAAATATTTCTCCCAGCATTCAATGCTGTATTCCTATTACGGGTCCAGTTTTATTGAAATCAGAAACGTACCGTTCAACGACAACTGAACACATTCAGGCTGAAGGAGTGAACACAAAGTTCTTTGCGGGTACGGAGGACGGATATCTGATTTACACGGACTGGAAGGCAGAAAAAGATCCAGAAAGTGGTAAACTGGTCAGTTCTAAGCCGGTTTATGCTATCTCCACCCACGCCGGTCCTGTTCACTGTTTGCTGAGATCACCTTTCTATAACCACATATTCATGAGCGTTGGAGGGTAAGTTGTTTATAGCTTAGTTGCTTTATCATTGACAAGTCTTAACTCTTAAGAAGTTCACCAACTACCTTCAACTGAATGAATGGATAAAACGTTAAATGTCAGTGTTTTAGATGGAGTTGGAGTATATGGAAAGAGGGAGAATCAGAGATTCTTCAGACTTCGAGATCAAATGTCAAGTACACTGCTGCTTCTTGGAGTTTGACAAGACCTGGGGTAGGTGTCCCTCTTTGATTTCAGATTACAACCACTTCTCTATATTAATTTTCAAACATAATTTTACAGCTGCGTAATGCGTATACATGTCCCACATGTAATTATACACATAACATTCCACATTCTTACCAATCCTTTGAACTATGTTTTGTTCTAGCCCATTGATAACCCTGACTTAAACCAGGTGTTCTACATTGGTAAGGAAGATGGTAATATTGATGTGTGGGACCTTATGGATAGGTCCCATGAACCCAGCATGAGTCAGAACATCTCCTCTTCTGCTGTAACTTCTCTTGTTCCTTATAGAGTATCCTCAAAACAGGTAACATTAATTGTAGTCAATAGTCATGAATATTCAGATTTGTAGCCCCAACATGACCTTCCCAATTCGGCAATTCAGTTTGATCCACAATAACATCCGAATTTCCTGTGTTTTAACTTTTTGAAAAAGCACAACTAACAATGGTTTCCCTATAATTTCTTTAGAAGACCAGTGACTGGTCTCTGGTTAACAACTGTTATTAAATCTGTTATTTCTAGGTGTTGCTTGGTGTTGGTGATAACTTTGGAACCCTCCACATTCTTGAAGTGCCATGGAGTTTGAGACAAGCCTCGCCCAACGAGCTGCACGCCATGTCTTCTTACTTCGATAGGGAATGTTCTAGAATAGATTACTACAAGGTCTGTAAATCTAAGAATTAAGTGGTTCTAAGCACTTTAATGCACTGTTTAGTGCTGTTATAAATTATAATGGATTTCCAGTAAAGTCGTGATTATTCCCTTTATGGCGCTCTTGATGAACAAATTTTTAACAGCATTTCAAAATGTTTAAGGTCTCCAAAAAAACTGATACTGCAGTTTGACGAACTGTATAAATTGGACAAATCTACTTGTTCAGAATATAAACTGTAACCCAGCTTAGTATTAATGATCCTTGAAATAAAAGTGGCCAAATAATAGTTACAACCTAAGGAGTAAGGACTCAATCCATCAAAATAACGTTAAATTTCTCCTTTTGCAGGAGCGAGACATGAACCGTGGTACAGCAGTTGTGGACAGTGCACCACAAATACCCACCGCTCTGGAAACGGCCGAGGAAGAGGAGGAGAGGCTTAAGAAATCGTTTAATAACTATCTGAATATGGAGAAAGAGTTCCTGGTCAAGTTGGGACTCCGCAAGGAAGATGACCCAGTCCAGCTTCTTACTTAATTTTTTGAATTCCTGTGACGTCACAAGAAAAAGTGTGACGTTACAAGTGGACTGACAATTTAAATGATATTCAGATAGTCGTAATTTATTGTAAAAAGTGTTTATATAAGTTAATATTCATCCACAAATGTAAGCTAATTTATAATCCCCTGTATTATATTACTCACTCATAACCCATGTCTCATGAAATTCAGAAACCTGTCAGAATTTACTTTTTCAGATTGTAAAATTGTGTAAATATTGTTTGTTAAACTTATTGTTTCTTTTCAAAGTTAACGCATAGGATAATTTTGTAGCTCCCAAAATTTGGTTTTATCACTAAAGCCATGAGATCCCGTCGTCAGGCACGCTAAAGTCGACCGTAACTCTTTCGCGCGCATCCTCTGAACTGCCGAACACATGGGCTTTGCAAAATATCCGCAGTTTGTGTATTGAAATTATCTATTGTTAGCATTCAGTAATGTAACGCAAATACTTTATTTAGTGATTGAGAAGATGCACTGCCGATCTTGAGTTTATTACATTAAATAGATTATGTGAACGATTACAAAAATTTAACTAGCGGTAACGTATTTATCTACATTCTGAGGAATCGCTATCATGTAAGGGAGGTTGAACTAATGGGTTGTGTAAATAGTCCAGATCATGTGATTCCTCAAGTCTCATGCAGCGATAGCCGGATAGCTAGCTAATTATTCCTGAGATGTTATGTTAACTATAGCTTCTTTTGATTGGTCGGCGTCGACTGTAAGCCTTCCTTGCGGTGGCTTTCACAACGCGTCCCCATTCTCCAACTCCTGCTGCTGGAGAGACAAGAGAGAGACTCCCAAATTATATTTACGTAAAAACTTTTGGCCAATTATTTTCCCCCTCCGTAATCAGTTTTACACATAGTTATTTTGTTTAAATTACCTAGCGTTCGCGTTATCATTTAGAAACCCTTTTCCTGACACTCCCCCCCCCCCTCAGTGATTACGTAGTATGTGAACGACGTAGTTAAAAACTTAGGGACCTTTAGATTTATTTGCCTTTAAAGTCTGCAGTTATCGACGTGCTAACTGCTAATATCGAGACTAACTTACTTTCATTGGGCGATCCTCTGTCGAAATCCCGTTCAGTATCTTCATCCAAACTTCTCGATCGCACATGGCAGAATCGAGAACTGCACGCCGGCATCGCTAACAACAGTATCTACGAATCGTGACAGTTATAAGTATAATTGAGGCGGTCATGTTATATTACGTGAGTGGATGAAACTGCAGCCTCTCCAGTCTCTATCTAATTAGGTTTTATATGAAGTTAATGGGGAACTGTCTAGGTCATGTTATTCTATATATTCAGTATACACAATGTTTCGGTAAGAGGTGTATATGGTGAACCCAAAGACTAGAATCATAGGAATTGGTGAATGGTTATATCATCATGCTACGTTTACAGTTTAACCCAATCTCACAGGAAACTTGCTTATTATGACGTGTGTAGTGTACATTAATTATTCCTGTAAAACCCACGAATTTATGATGTCTGTCAACTTACTGAATTATTTCTTGCATTGGTAAATCGATTCCATTTACCAGAGAAGAGGTTATCATTCATCAACAAACGTCGTAGGTGGTCTATAAATCTTGCTAAACTAGTCAGTCGAGATTCATGCATTATTCTGGGCCCACTGCCATACTACTATAGTAAAATAATGAACGAGAAACGTCTGACAGTGAGGCTGCCAGCTAGTGTGTTTATAGATTATTGGAGCCTCCGTTTACAATTATTAGAGCATGCAGTAATTATTGCTGTTTCTTGCCTGCGATGAAGTAGGATTTATTGCATTCCCCGATGGTGAGGGTTTAGTTTGTTATTCGTAAATAACTATGGATTATTTAGGTATCTATATCTCAGTGTTGCCACATGTTGCAACGTGCGTCTCAGTGTATCCTGACCTTTGTAATTTGCAATTGCGAGATGTTGATCGGATCGCAACTGTTGGGAGTTTCTGACCATCATTCTTTGATTGATCGTGAGTACTCGTGCTGATCGATGCAAAGTGAACATGCATCTGGTCGGATCTTTATGAGAAACCTTTGTGAGAAATGCATAACCCGGTTGACTCAAATCAACTGCTAATACACAGTACATCAAGATTGTCTTCGAAAATGGGCCTGATTAGTTAAGCCATGCAACTCGCGCGCGCACATGCTTGCCGCGCCTTACGTGATCGATAGTACACTTTTAACACCAAATTCGCCATCGCGTGTGTCATAGGGAGATTGTTTCTGCTCCATGCTTCGTGTACTGCAGCTAAAAGTTCATCCATCAGTTGGTGGTAAAATATAACGCCCATGTATGTATCATTACAAAATTCGTATACACATACGATAGTCCATCTATAACAATGATTTTGTGGCCATGACTTTTTGCCCCACCCTACAATTCAGGTTGTGCCATTTTTAAAGATCATTCATTTATAGATTCCATTCATCTTATATTGAGATTTCATTTAGTATCTATGATATCGGTTAATACTATGTCTCGCCGAATAAAACCTCACGACGATCCGTACTGCTCCATTGAGCAATGTCTCTGCTTTAGGAAATTTTGATGAAGCAGCTACCCACCACGGTCAACAATTTATATATTGGTTGCTGCAAAATTGGTTTTCTGCAAATGTGGTTCTTTAAACTGCGTTGGTTGATTAACTGCTCTTAGTATAAATGTTATGGTAAACCGAAATTTACGCCGTGTATAGAATAGTACACGGTAGTAAATCAACAAACATTTTCGATCAACAAAAATGTGCACTCAATTGATTTAAATTATGCTGATCTCGAGCTGAAATACATAATTGCCTTATTTCGCGCTCATCTGCATTTGAGTGCAAGATAAGCACGATAATATCTGCAATCTTCCACCTTGAAAAACTTTGGATTTTTAATAGAAGATGATATGACTGTGGAAAAGAGCACATTAGAGGGCAATATTGGACGAGTGAAATATGTTTATAGTTTTCCTACCAATAACCTATCTGCTTTTATTTGGCCCGTTGCCACAATTAATGATCCCTGTATCAAATCTCTTAAAATCCAAATTTGTGTTGTAGAACCCTTTCGCACAATCTTGAAAGTCATTAATCACTGTTGGATTCCATTTCAATTTCTTTAGTATTTGCCCCGAAAGGGCAAATAATTCGATGGAAAACCTTTTAGAACGTGGTACAGGCTGAGCTAATCACTTTGATATTTGGCACTATTCTAATCATAGGAAAACCCGCAGATCTAAAAGCCTGTAGCTGTCAAATTTGTATTGATGAAACAGGTAGCCATTTCCTATTAAACCATCATTCCAGCTTCATGACAAGACCTAATTTGGGGGTCACTGTTCAGCCATTGCCCTTAATAGTTAATACTTTCAGCTAATATTGACCTTGATCTTAGGAGAAGCTTTGCAGGGAGATTGGCAAAATTACAATTCGGGTACCTTCTCTTCATTGTCAAGAAGCGGCAATAAAATTCTGTGACCCGTACCACCCGACAAGTATAATTTGAATTATACATATAATGGTGACGGGGTTGTCCGATCCTTTAAGAAATAATCAATTGCTACTTTTAAGATAATTCTTTTCAATAGCCCAGAGGAGGCAGGACAATTAAATCTTCGTTTTTTTGGAGGAGAAATTCATGTATATAATTAACATTTATGTACATTTTAGCTATAAATTCAATCATGTTAATAAGCATGAACATTTTGTTTGTCTGTTTATTCTTGTTTGTTTGTTTGTATGTTTATAACCTGTCCCAATCTCTTATCGGAAAATGACGAATCTCAATTCTGAGTGTGAATACGCGTACGGCTGGTACCTGCAAGAGTGTTCATAGTGGTGGTATGATAAACTCAAGATAGATCGCAGTTCCTGTTCTGATAGAATCTGAACCTCCTCGTTTCCAATACCTTTCCAGTCCTCCGAACCTTTGTAAAAAATTCTGCTTGGGAATGTGCCAAAAAAAGTAACTTCCGTTGTCATGGTGACAGAAATTCCGAACAAAGCTACTGCCCCATTTAGTACGTAAGTTCTGGCTAACTGCCATTCAGAGTTACTTAGATTAAACGAGACACCTTGTTGAGCAAGTAAGAACAGTTCACCCTAGGTTATAGCCATGCGACAGATCTGATCAGAGTGGTTACAGTAATCTTAGTAAGTGGGAAATTTGTATCGGATCTTCTCCGAGATATTAGGCGATTATTATGGTTTTTGTCATGTGATCGAACCATGTGGTTTATTCTCTTTACAAAGGTGAACTTTCGAAACATCTCCATCCTTCGGTAAACAAGGTCTGACCGCAGTTTTGTTTCAGTAAATAACAGAAACGTATTATGGATATATGTTCAATAATTGAGCGTGCGTTCACACAATGTCTTTGAAAATGGATTATCTTTATAATAAAAGGCCTTGGTTATGCAAAACTCTTTCATTGTCCTCTATCCTATTTTTGAAGGTCACGTATAAATCGTGAAAACGACGTAGGTAACCCAAAGTTTATAGTAAGACCATTGTCCACTCAGACGTTGAGACTGAGTGTAATAAATACCAAGGAACAATCAGATACTTCAGCAAATTTCAATCTTCGTACTCAATATTCAAATTTTTGGCGCCCCAAAAAAGGCCTTACATGACTAAATCTTACATGACCAATTTATTACTGAAAATAATATCCTGATGCCCAGTTCTTTAGTACGTGAAGAAATGAAGTGTTCAAGTATCCGCAATATTTGAGTCTTTAGAAGGATGTCTGGGGAGCCGTAAACGGGGCAATAAATACAACGTGGTTGAAACTTACCCTAGAGAGTGAAGGTATTTAAAAGGAAGCCGGGCTAAACGATTGTCTCACATCATGCAGAGGTAAATCCTCCAATGTCAGGAATATAAAACTCTAGCATCACTGACCAGAATTTATACGATATGAGCAAATTTCCAGACTTTTTGTAGGACAGTTTCGTTGGTGAGCACAATACAGGGCGTACTGGTGAGCTCCACTAATCACAGCGTTCTAAACATTTAAACTTACAACACATTAATTTGTCTGGCATCTGGCAAATACCTGAACTATATTTTAAAGCAGGTTTTTAGGATATCATTTACCGGCATATTATATTATCCGTTATTGGTAGGATGTCAACTGTATCGACTAACGTGGCATAATAAGGAGATAAATTCTTCCACTTCCTAAGTAAACGGAGCTCAAATAACCAACCACGTGAAT